TGAAATGTATTGATTTCATGTTAACTATATCGTGTTTGAGATCACTAAGTATCATACTATACATACATATACATATATATATATATATATATATATATATATATATATATATATATATATATATATATATATATATATATATATATATATATATATATATTATTATGTTATCTGCTTAATGGGGAAGGCTTATATACAGTAGTGTACGGTTCACGTCTGTTATGTAGATGACAGGTATTATACCTTTATAATATTAATGTAAATAAATAATCAATGTCGAGGTATAAGGTAAAAATCTGAGGTACAATTTTCTTTTCTTAACACTAAATCTACCGAGCGCGGTTAAATAGCCGTTATTGAAATTTAGTTAAAAAAAATCATGTTTAACGTTACTGTATCACCATGTAACTTATTGAGTTTTCCTTTAATATACCTTACAACTTATTCAATATTTACAATTTACTATTATTTACTTGTTTACTATCCAATTGGCTAAAATCTCTTTCTATATTAAGGTACATACTTTATTTTAAAGCGGTCATTTGACCGCTAATGGTAGGATTTTTTTAAAGGGTGAAAATGTTATGGTAACCCCGCCTGCGCTAACGGGATACGCTGGCGGAGCACCAGTGAAGGGTGATAGATGACAATGAAAACAGGCCAGTTAGACCATCATGATGAATTCATCAGGAATTAACAATGATAGATTCCAGGGGGGACCGCAAGGAGGCGGACCTGGTTGGTTGCTAGCAATGGGATTCTTAGTCTCCATTACTAACAATCCCTTTCCCCCCTGAATGGTAGGATTAGGTATATATGAAATGTCGGTTAGGTTTAGTGTTAAATTATTCGTAATTGATAGTGGTAATCACGTTTTACGCGCATATTCACGAAGCTGCAAACAAAGATTGATTTCACTTGCGTACCTAAAACGCGAAAGGAAAGAAACATGCTTGTGTGGACATAGAGGTAATTGGAAAAGCTATACTTTCCTGGACAGAAAAAGTAAGGGATGAGGAAGTCTTGAAAAGGGTGAATGAGAAAAGAACAATACAGAATAGAAGAGGCAAAACGCTGGGCCATCTTATACGACATGACTATTTTTTAAAGAGCATATTAGAAAGTAAAATAGAATGCAAAAAAGGGAGGGAGAGACCGAGGAATAACTATATGGGACAGATAAAGAAAACACTAGGTGTCATGTCGTATAGGGAGGTCAAGGATACGGCCTGGGATAAAGCTGGCTGGAAGAGGATGCATGAGTTAGTTGCACCGACAAGAGGGAACCTCTTAACTGAAAATAAAAGACCTGTAAGTACTTGAACTGGGTAGTACTATTCTCTTTATGTCAAAAGTGTAATTAAGTACCTGTTTTATACAAAAAACTACTCAAAAATATAAATTACTGACTTGCTCGTATGTCAAAGGCACGTTCTGCTGTCTCGTAGAAAATTCGAGTTTTACATTTTTTATACGGATAATATCAGGCTTAAATTGATTTTTTGCGTCTTATATGTCAATTTAAAATGATTTTACAGTAAATAACCAAAAATTTATTTACAATATGACATCGATTTTGTTTTAAATCTCTACCGTGGTGTATAAATGTGTTGGTCTGGTCAAACAGTCGTTGTCTAAATTCATTTATTTTTCTTTTCCTAAGAACTGTAATCACACTAATTTGAACATTAAAAACAATACCTAATTTGTCCAGACACATTTTCATACGAAACCAGCCAATGCTCCGTCTTTTGCTATCAATAATCCCTATCAGGTCGACCTCCACGCGGTTCCCCCTGGAAATAAACGTGACTAATTTATCGTTGAATACGTCACGATGGACTAACTGACCTGCCTTTTCATCCTCACCTATCATCCCTCATTGCTACCCCGCCAGTATATACCGATAGCGCAGGCGGGGTTACCATACCATTTTCTCCCAATAAAAAAAAAATGCACGGAGTTCCATGTTTATTTGATATATATTTAAAATTTTGAGCCCACAACCAAATAAATCACTATGAGAATCATCCAGATTGATCGTACGCAAAAAAAAAAATACATCTAAATTGAAAGCCTTCTCTAGAAATATGTTAAAGGGAAGGCGAAAGAAACATAATAAAATAATTCAAAATCCCTGCTGCGTCGCAGATGTGCTCGAAAAGTCTATAATAATTATGTTTGTCATCGAGGCAGATAAAAGACACACTTGAGAATTGGGCGAATTTCGTGCACAAACAATACCAGTTATTATAAGATTTTAGGGGCTTTGTTATATATTTCTACTTATGTATTTATTTGCTTATTTTTTTTTGCACAATGATACTTTATTATTATAGTACAGTATCTCTAAGGTTTACTAAGTACAAAGAATAACATAAAACAAAATATTCCTACTTAAAAGCACTTACAAAATTTTTTACTGAACTATTTCTAATTCTACTTTCGAGGTTTGTTATATTGTACTAATTTTAAGACAGGCATTATGTTATAATTGCTTTTATTTTCCCCATAATCCCATTATTCATACATACATACATACATATCTGTCACGCCTGTCTCCCATTAGGGTAGGCAGAAACAATGGAACGCCAAATGCTTCGATTCAAACAAACCTCTTTCGCTTCTTCCACATTCATCAATCTTGTCATACACGCTCGTCGGTTACGGGTACTTTTAATTTGGCCCTTCTTCAGCACGTCGCCTATTTGGTCGACATACGTCCGTCTAGGGCGGCCCCTACCGACATCTCCATTCATTCTTGATCGATAAATCTCTTTCGTAATTCTTCTTTCATCCATCCTCTCCAAATGACCAAACCAACGCAACATTCCTTTTTCAATTTTTGTCACTACATCGTCTTTCAGTCCACACTTCTCTCTAATCACACTGTTTCTTACTCTATCTTTTAAAGTAATACCACACATACTTCTCAAAGCTCTCATCTGTACAGCATTTATCTTACTTTCATGCTTCTTCTGCCATACCCACGATTCGCTTCCATACATGAGTGTTGGTGTCAGTACTCCTTGAATTATAGCAAGGCGAGCTTTGCTCGATACATTTTTACTTGACATAATCGAAAGCAGTGCACCGTTAACACTGTTTCCCGCTTTTACTCTCCTCTCAATATCTCTGTCACACTTCCCATCCCTCGTAAACAAAGAACCTAAATATAGAAACTCACTCACTTGCTCTACTTTTTCATCTCCTATCATAATCTGGCATGCCGTTAAACTTTCATTCCTCTCAAAAACCATTACCTTCGTCTTCTTCGCATTTATTTTCATACCTTTTCTTGCATACGCTTCATTCATTATAGTCACCATTTGTTGTAATTCATACTCCGACGATGCAAAAAGCACTTGGTCGTCGGCGTATAAAAGAGTCTTAAACAGAGACTCATTCATCCTGAATCCACAATTAGATCCTTTCAAATCGGTCAAGCAACTGTCCATAAATAGGTTGAACAGCCAAGGAGACGCTACACAGCCCTGTCTAACACCGCGTTCAATGCCAAACCAGTCTGTATAGACTCCATTTATTCTGACACAGGCATTTGAATCCTTATATAAAGATTTGAATGCCCGTATCAAATGGTTGCTCACCCCATACACTGCCAGTGTTGACCACAGTTCATTCCTCTCCACTCTATCATAAGCCTTTTCAAGGTCAATGAAGGCGCAGAAAACCTTCTGATGTTGAGCTAAGGTTTTCTCTGTTATGCACCTTAAGGAAAAGACTTGATCCGTACATCCCATACCCTTTCGAAACCCTGCTTGCACATCCCAAATTTTACTTTCCGTCTCATTCATCACTCTTTTAATCAAAATCCTAGCATATAATTTGCCTACAACACTAAGAAGGCTTATTCCGCGGAAATTTTTGCACTCCTGCTGTGACCCGCTGCCTTTATATAGTGGCACAATAACAGCTTTGCTCCAGTCACCTGGAACACAACCGGACCGCCAACATTTATTGAACAGCAGACACAGCAGGTTTACAATGATTTCTCCACCTTCTTTAAGCATTTCGGCAGATATTCTATCGAATCCCGCTGCTTTACCAAATTTCATAATCTTCATTGCATTCATTACTTCATCCATACTTATATCACTTTCACTGTCAACTTCTTCGTCCATTATTTCATTTTCAACATTCTTTCTTTCACTTCCACGTTCAAATAAACTTTCAAAATATCTCTTCCAATGATCTAAGACTTCCTTTTGTTCCGTGATAACATTACCATCCATATCCCTTATCACGCCCATTTTTGGATCTCTCTTTTTACCTCTAGCTGTTCGAACTAAATGCCAGAAAAGCTTTTGATTAGCTCGAAAATTTCTAGAGAATTTCCTTTCATACTCATCCTTACATTCCTCTTTCTTTTTGCTTACTAATTCTTTAACTTTCTTTTTCATTACATCATACTTCTCTTTTGCAATTTTTTCAATGTCACTTACATTACCTTGCATTCTCTTATTAGCTTTGGTAGCTAACAAATCCATCCATGCCTTTTTCTTTAGAGCCACCATTTCTTTCACTTCGCCATCCCACCATACATTCATTCTCATCTTAACATCCTTCCTCTTACTTACACCACAAACTTGAGTAGCTATATCAAAGATTCCGCATTTAAATTCCTTCCAAAATTCTTCTATCTCATAGTTATCTTTCTTCAGTAGCTCTCTAAATCTTTCATTCAATCTATCTTGATACTGATTTCGAACCTGTTCTTCTGTCAGTCTCTCTACTCTTACTCTTTCTATTTCTGACATACGAACACGTGGACGATGTCGCCATTTATTGAATAAGCTACCTATTCTCGATATCACCAAAAAGTGATCGGTTCCGACATTCGTATCACGATAGACTCTTGTATCCTTCACTTTCGCTCTCAATCGTTCATCCACAATTACAAAATCAATCATACTTCTCTCAGTTTGCCTTTGCCATGTATACATATGAATCAGTTTGTGACTAAACAAAGTATTAGTCACCACCAGATTTCTCTCCAGGCATACTTCTAATAAACTTTCACCATTTTCATTCACTCTTTTATCTCCAAACATTCCTAAATTCCTTTCATATCCATCGCGACGGATTCCCACCCAGCCATTAAAATCACCTATCAAAATAATTCTTTCATTCTCCTTACATTTAGTCATAATCTCTCTTACACTATCCCAGAAATCCTCTCTGACCTTTGGTGGCTTGGACATATCCGGGGCATAAGCGCAAAGGAGAAAAATACGGGTCAAACCAACTTTCAGTCGTATCCAGAGGAGTCTAGGACTTACAAATTCAAATTCTTTAACAGATGCATTCATTCTCTCTGACAAAATAACTCCCACTCCTTGGCTGCTTCTTTCAGAGTCATTAACTCCAGACCAGTACCTAGTATATCGGTCATAAGTAGTAATAGAGCAGCCTTTCTTTTTTGTTTCACTTACTCCTAATACATCAATTCTTCTTTCACTCATCATCTCACATACTTCGTCTATTTTACTATTCATACCTCCACAAACATTCATCGTTGCAATTTGGCATTCCTTTGCCCTCTTTTTGCCATTTGGGGAAACAGGGGAGACATGACGTGACCCGTGGCATAACGCATCGCCGTCGATGAGAAATTTGTCCCCCCAGATACGATGGGACTGCCTGAGTTGCACTCAGGGACGGATTCTCCGGCAGTGCCGGTACCCTCCTGGGGTAGTTGCGTTTTAATTTCTCTTATCATTTTGAAAAAGAACTGCTCTTCTTAACATCGGATAGGGAAAGGAAATAGGTTACATTGGGAAAGGAATAGGTTATAAGGAAAGGAGGTGATAAGTGGAAAGGAACTATAGGAAAAATGGGGGATACTACAGCTACGGAGAGGACATAGGTTTTGTAACTGTAGTAGCTATGGAGGCCGGGGTTGCGTACCCGTATGCCCTTACTCCACAATCGGACAGATTAATAGAGAGGACATCCCATGACCATTATTCAATTTAGTTAATTTTATTAGTCAATCAAAAATTAGAATTAAATAGACTATAGATATATAAATGTATACTTACATACATATATACTATATTATATATATATATATATATATATATATATATATATATATATATATATATATATATATATATATATATATATATATATATATATATATATATATATATATATATATTACATACTTACTTTACCAGAGGAAGACTTTGTACAAAAGTCGATTGCTTGGGTACCTCTGTCCCATTCGTGTTTCAACCGTGAAGCAGTTGTGTTTGCATGGCTGTGTTTCGGTTTAAAGGGCGTGATATGGCGTGAATTTACTAGGTACAGAGGAATAATACCCGAGTCCTCAGAAATGGCAACGCATGGGGGTATCATGGGCGAAACAGTATACTCTGTTATGTCCATGGTACTGCTCATGTCTATAGGCGACAGTTACCACTTTCCATCAGGTGGGCCGTCAGCTTGTTTGCCATTCTAAGTTGTATAAAAGAAAAAAACATATATTGTAATTCGTAATGTCTAAGCTGTTGATGTTACATATAAATAAATAATTTACGCCGTCAAATCCCCAAGACACAGAGGGTTTAGTGGGATAAATAAAATATTATTGTATTACGTATTCGGGCCTTATCCTTATTAATTTTATCAGTGTGAAAGTGAGTTTGTTTGTTACCTCATAGCGCTTTAACGGCTTAAACAATTACTATGAAATTAGATGTATACTTACTAAATGGGAAAAGGATCATCAGCATCATACCAGCCTTTAACTGTCCACTGCTGGACATATGCCTCCACCTTAGGGGGCCCAGTTTGGCAGGCGGATTGGCAACCGCAATTTAGCTTTGGAGACGTTTTAAAGGGACGCTGCTGCCCATCCCTCGCCGTCCCTTAGTCGCCTCTTACCACATCCACGGGAAAGGAAGTGACCTATTCTATTCCGGGACCATACGGCTAATGGAAAAGGAAAATGGTTACTTTTTGTCCCGGTAACGCGGACGAAGACAAAATTAAAAGCTAGTAATTTTATTAATCGAAAAGCTTGTAGATTTAATGGTAGATTAAGCTACCAAGAAAATGTCGGCAACACACCTGCAATGCCGCTGGTGTTGTGGGTGATCATGGGCGGCGGTAGTCACTTACCATCAGGTGAGCCGCATGCTCGATTGACCCCTGTGTTGTAAAAAAAAATGACAGCTCTGACCTCACCTAGCAATGTAACTGGTAGTTCGCGATACTAACAATCCCTTCCCTCTCTTCCATTAGGCCATTTTTATTTTGGCCTTTCTTCAGCACGTTGCCTACTGACATCTCTGCAACTTTTAAGTTCGTAAACTTTACTACAGGGAGTCAGTGAGAACTTTGAGATTATCAGAGTTATAGTAATTTATAATTATGTATTAAATTTAATTTAATTTACAAACAGTAACTTAGGAGCATTTAAACTAGTTCCACTTGGTTTATAAGTTATTTACATTACTGCTATGCAATGCCCATCCCCTAGCCGCTAACCCGTGCAATCCCAGACAGTTGTGAAAAGCCACTAACTATATTAATAACTGTAAGGTCTTGAAGACAAATAACTAGTCTTGTTAGGGTTGTTAACTCTTAATTATAAGCTTGTGGAATAAATAAATATAGATAAATAGATAGATAGATACTCTTTATTGTTTCCTCCAAAAGATTACAATAGTAAACTTATTATAAATATAAATAATTACAAGAAATAATCACAATGAGAAAACAATGGGCGACCTTATCGCTAAGAGCGATCTCTTCCAGGCAACCTTTGGATGGAGAGGAGTAATTATAAACAATTTGGTTGGAGGCACGATGAAAAATTCTGTTAGTTCTAAATTCTAAATATAGAAATATCAATATATTCATATTGATATTTCTCCATGTTTTCGTCACGCAATGGTAGGTCAATATTTATATTATAATTTTGAAATTAATAAAAAAAAATTAATAAAATAAACAATAATAATAATATTTGAAATATTATAAAATAAAAGTAACATTGTAAATTAATTACAGTTAATATTTTAAATTAGTTACTACATATCATATATATATATATATATATATATATATATATATATATATATATATATATATATATATATATATATATATACCAATAATGATGACTTCAAGTTGTAAAATTGGTATTGTACACTTTTTACAATTAAACATAAATAAATAATAACATGTCATAATTTAATATTGACATTTAGGTATTCGGTCACGTTGTAAAAAGGATGTTGCACAAAATATGTTTTTATTTTATTTTTAAATATATTTCTCATATTTATAATACTCTTTTTTTTCGAAACGCGACTTCAATTTTAATGAAGTTATTAAGCAAACATAATGTAGCAAATGATTCAACTAAAAAGCAATCGTCAAATTATGTACACAACACGATATCGTGTAATATTATACACAAATAAAAAAATAATAATCTAATCGAGAATTTTCTCAATTGAAAACTATTGTTTAAAAAAAAACTATTTTTTTATTGCCTTGTAGTATGCAAAGTAAGGTCATTAACATAGTCTAAATATTCATTTTGCACGATCTTATTGTCTTTATATTGGGAACAAAAATTACTGAAATAGGTTTTTTTTTATGGGTGAAAATGGTATGGTAACCCCGCCTGCGCTAACGGGATACGCTGGCGGAGCACCAGTGAAGGGTGATCGATGAGAATGAAAACAGGCCAGTTAGCCCATCATGATGAATTCATCAGGAATTAACCATGATAGTTTTCAGGGAGAACCGCGCGGAGGTCGACCTGGTTGGGTATATTGCTGGCAATAGGATTCTCAGTCTCCATTACTAACAATCCCTTTCCCCCCTACTGAAATAGGTTGAACATTAAGCTTGCATCAACCATAACCGGACGACTTACCTGATATTGGATACTCGTTGGCAAGTTAACTATGAGAATTGGATCCCCCATAATTCACCATGAGCTTCAACCCTATCGTAATTAAGAGGACCGCCCTTCTTCAGTTACAGAGCGCAGGTAAAAGAGACGAAATAAAACTAACCACTAATCCCAGTGGCGCTTTTGTTTTACAGCCTTGGAGTCCCTTACAAATTTATATTACAGTGTCTCTATTCAGTTCATGAAATACGCTTATCTGGGGGGAAGGGATTGTTAGTAATGGGGAGATTAGTCCCCACTGCTATCAATATATCCTATCAGGTCGACGTCCACGTGGTTCCCCCTGGAAACTATCGTGACTAATTTATCGTTGAATTCTTCACGATGGGCTAACTGCTTTTTCATCCTCACCTATCACCCCTCACTGGTAACCCGCCAGTGTATACCGATAGCGCAAGTGGGGTTATTATGCCAATTTCATCCATTAAAAAAACACACGTCTCTCCAAGTATACTTATTTACTTTCAGTAAAGTTTCCACTTAATGCTTACGAGTGAATTAAGTAAGAAATATTCTGTTTGGATCTAAAACTTATAAACTAATCTTTTAAAACTTTTATTACGCAGACGTATGTCTGTTACCTACTAGATATGGAAAGCAATCTAGTGAACATTCATTTTATCCTAGATTTATATTATTTTTAAAGTAAAAATGCTTAATTTTTTTTAACAATTTAAACTCAAGGTTTGCTGGAAGAGAATTCTTACAGAGTCAAGCTCGCCTGTTGTACATCGTCATCTTCTATACTTATAGTAAATCTGTAGAGAGGTCAATTCTGTACATGAAATATATTTCCAAAATAACTATCAGGGGGTGATTAGTGATCGATACTGATGCCAAAAATGCAATCAGTAAAATTTTTCTCTGTCTGTCTGTATGTTCGTTACAGAAACAAAAACTACTCGACGGATTTTAACGAAACTTGGTACAGTTATTCTTCATACTCCTGGGCAGGTTATAGTATACTTTTCATCACGCTACGATCAATAGGAGCAGAGCAGTGAAGGGAAATGTTGGGAAAACGGGAGTAGTTACTCCATTTTTAAGCTTCCGTCGCGTGTGCACCCTTAATGGCCACTTTTTAAAATGTTAAAATGTCCACCCGTGCAACACCGGGACGGGACGCTAGTTTAATATAAATTATAACAATATAATTTTTGTATACAATAAAGTATAAATAAATAAATAATTTTGCAAAATAAAAAGATCTATTCTACTAAAATAAACTTTTGTTGTGTACACACATATATATATATCTACTAAATAGTGGCGTGAAACATTTTACTTTGGACTACCCTCTTAAAACACTATATAATAATTAATGTGGTCCCATCTCTTATCCCTTACAAGTAGAGTGACAACCCTGCGAGGACCAACATCGCCACAACCGCAACACAGTTTCTTGAAACTGTAATAATATATTTACCCATAGAGTCCAGTCCTGTTCCGCCAAGTTACATATAATCTTTTTCAGGTAAATGTTGATGAAAAGACAGGTACGAAAGTTTCGTCCCCATCAATAGATGCATAAGGGCTCAGTGACTAATTCTGTCGGAATTAGTACAGTTGAGTTTG